ATGACTTTTTAAGATGCATTTTTTTAACAAAACATAAATCACTGCCTAAAAATGCTTTAGCAGCACACCATAACACAATAAACAGTTTGTACAGCACATTTAATTTAAACCAACACATAAAAGAAACTGTATGAAGTCTTGGAGCAAACGGCAATCCTTATGACACACACACACACACCCCAATACACAAAATAATCAACTAATTAACTTAAAAAATAAAAAAAAAACAAATTGAGCAACTACAAGTTGTATGAAATGGAATAAATACAAAGTTTATAGAATGCACATGCTCTCTCTCTCTCACACACACACACACACACACACGCACACCATTTAAAACAAGTTCCTACAGCTAATTAATTTTGCACACAAAGAAAACTGAATTCACTTATTAAACAAATCCTACACTAAACTGCAATTTGTATATGATATACATTTGGTTGTTGAGCATTTATTAACACTTCAATGCTTAAAATTACAGTATCACACTGTTTTCCAGTATGAGAACCTTTGAGGAGAGCTTGTCAGAGTTCATTTGCACAAGTACTTTTTGGGCAAACTCGTAATAGTATTTGAGTTCTTTTGGGTAGGCCAAATCAAGCACATAAATTGCCCCCAACATCAGTGCACAGGCTTGTGCAACAGATTTTATCTGTTCAATAATCACTGTTCCATCCACAACGATGCCAATGTCCTCATAATCTCCTCTTTCCTTTTTGATGACACATATGGCCATGGCGGTGTTTGTCAGGTCCTTCAAAAATTCTTCTTTTTGATTGCCCTATATTTAAATAAAAAGAAACCATTATTAGACATTGTTTTTGAAACATTTTGTAAAAAGTCAGAAGAAATCTAATGTCATTAAAACCAAAACCTTAACGGCCCTCCCCACCAGCACATTGATACCTGTGAAATATTATAACAATCATTTATGATTGCGTATTGGCGTACATATATTTGTGCATGATCTGCAAGTACGACTTCTTCACAATTATTTACAGGGTTTATTCAGGTTTTATCAGGGTAAATTTAAGATCTTTTAAGACTAACTAAAAATAATTTTGGAAAAAATAATTGAAAGGCAAACAATACAGTAATATGTTGAAAACTAAATATAATGTCAAGGAAGCATTATTGCATTATTATTTAAATAATATTACCCAAGGTTTAAGGCTTGAAAACCACAGATTTGGCCACTTAAATGTGGAAATACCTTCTGATCAGACCCACTGTATATCAATATACCCGGTCACAATTGTTCACCTTAACCCTTCTGTATTATTTAAATTTACAACCCTTTCCTTATGTTAGTTGCTGTTTTTTTGCCCCATTGACTTCCATTAAAACATTTTTTGGATGCAAATCCATGACAGCATGTAATCACGCATTGTTGCTGGTTATCTTCCCTTTTTGGTAAATGTATATTTTGTCATTTTTACTGTTGATGATCAGTTGACAGCATAACCATTTAGATAGTCCTGTGCAAAAAAGTTTCTGGCTTTTATATTTTTTGAGTTCTTTGGAGTATAAACAGTAAATGATAGTGTGTGTGTGTGTGTGTGTGTGTGTGTGTGTGTATGTGTGCATAAATACACTTACTATGTTTACTATAAGTCTGAAAAAATGTAAATAAGCAACTTTCAAAACAATGTGTGCAAAAGTCTCACTTTCATGAGCTCAAACAAAGAAATCTGTCTCCAAATTAATATTCTCAACAGCACACAAGGCTTAAGAATAATTGTGCACAAGTAAAATAAACATCAGCGAATGAAATTCAGTAGAAATGTCACACCTTGATGCAAAATTTAAGACCTCTCAAATTTAAGACTTTTTATGACCTTAAATTGTAAAAATCTAATTTAATACTTAAGACTTTTCAAAGACCCACAGGACCTCTGCAAATAATAAAAAAAAGTACAATGATAATAAAACAAATTTAATTGGACAAATTAATAGACATGTATATTTATTTAATTAGTATTTTTACGTGTCATTAATTAAACCAAAATAATTTAAATATATTAAGTATATTTTAAATGTATAAGTAAATATACAAATTTAAAACTTGAATTCATACTTTAAAAAAACGTCATGTTTCATTATTAGATTAAACATTTTTGAAGAATTATTCAGCAATACATTTTTGATTGTTAGTACGGCCACCCATTGACCTAAAAATGTAATACAAGTCAAGTTGCTTTTAAACAGTAATTTTAATCTTAACATAAACATAAATTTTCTCTTTTTTGGAAAAAAGTGGTTTACTTGTAATTCTGTGACTATTTGTTTGTAATTTAGAAATAATAATACTGTTTAGAAAGACTAAAACAGGGGTGTCCAAACTCCTTCTTGGAGGGCCAGTGTTCTGCCAATTTTAGCTTATCCTTGCAGGTGTGTTGAGGCAAGATAGTTTCTAGATCACCTAGTAAGAGCTTGATTAGCTAGCATAGGTGTGTCTAATTGGACTTGGAATTGGAATTGCAATTGGAACTAAACTTAGCACGACACAGGCCCTCCAGGACCAAGCTTGGACACCCCTGGACTAAACAATGAATATCTCTGGGGTCAAACACAGATCTGAACCCAATGCTGAGAACGTCAGAGGATTAAGAAACTTATGCAACTTTTAATCATTTAGTATTTTTAGGCATACTAATATTAGGCACATATTGTGATTTTCAAAAAGTATTACATCGCTTTGTAAATGTTTATTATTACCATTTTTTGAGTCTCCCAATACTATTTGATATAGTCAAGCGATGTGATGTCACACTCAACAAGCTGATAGTTTTCTCACGGTTCAATAACAGTGTGTATTACCATTACAATGCAAGAGTTTGAGGCAAAAGATAATAGGTTGCTCTTACGCGTGTAGTGACCAATGGCATTTTTTTTTAACTTCATGTACAAATATATGGAAATAGAAAGCATTTGAAAAAAGAAAAAAGCCATTGACATACAGTGAAAACGCTATTTTCAAATTCTTTAAAATTATTAATTTTGTTTTTGAGATATTAAAATATTTTGTTCATTGTTCTATTCATACTTTTGCATTGAATTAGTATGCAACTTACTTGCACGAATCTAGCAAGTGTTTGTGCAGCGCAATGTGATTTGAATAGACCATAATGTGTTCAACATTAGGTTCACCTATTAATTCAAATATGGCACTCAAAAAAGTTTCTGTTTGTCTCATTGGCCACTGTAACCCCACCCTCAGCCTCTGAACAAAGCAGTTCTTTCTTATAGCCCAGGTGCAAGCACTAGTACTATGATGCACTCACCATGTATTCTTTCACCAGGCATGCCTCATCCTCACCAAGGTAAGTAAAGAGAGCTTGAAGAAGCTTTTTTGACATGGACATTGGTTGTCTGTAAATAATACAAATTTGATTAGTTAAATACATAAATGACAAATTGGAAAACGTTAAGAAATGTATTAGATTAGATTAAACTTTATTGTCATTACACATGTACAAGTACAATGCAACGAAAATCAGTTTAGGTCTAACCAGCAGTGCAATAGCAGCAAGTGCAGGATACAGGTATAAGGTATAAAGTGCAGTTATAGAAAAACTTTAGTGATATTTACAGATGGATGTACTATCAACATTATATACAGGTTGTATTAGCTATGAACAGAAATTTTAAATAAATTATTATATGTACAGGTTGCTATTAATAATCAGAAGTGTACAGGTAGATAAACAATTACAAGTGTACAGTATATGTATAGTTCAAATGAACTATATGAGGACAGTGGGGTGTATTAGGAGGGCAAAATAATTAGTGGGGGATAGAGTTGAAAAAGGGACAGCTCTGAGGAAAGTGCTGTTCCTTAAGGCTGATTTATACTTCTGCGTCAAACGCACGCCAATGCTACGGTGCTGACGCATAGCCCTTCGCCGTGGCCGTCGCTGACGTGCACCTCTCAAAAAATGTAACTACACATCGCAACGACACGTAGCGCAAGGTCTGTGATTGGTCGGCTTGGTAGTGGCCAAGTGGACAGATGATGTATCGCCTCCCTGAAGGCCGTCTCATCATTATTGCTGATTAGACCAATCACTGTGGTGTCATCTGCAAATTTGATGATGATGTTGGATCTATTCACAGGCCTACAGTTGATAGTAAAAAATAAGTAGAGGAAGAGGCTCAGCACACAGCCCTGTGGTACACCAGGGTTGAGTGTGAAGATGGTGGAGCAGATGTGGCCTGATCTAACATTCTGAGGTCTTTTAGACAGAAAGTCCATAATCCAGTTGCAGAGAGACGTGTCGATATCCAGGTCTCTAAGTTTATTCATTAACTAATGCCGAGTTCAGACTGCATGATTTTGAAAGTAGTCGTTGCTGCTTTATTTTTACAGCAAGATGGATCTGCGACAGGGACTTGAACATTGCATGACATTACAATTGGAAGAATCGCCGACAACTTCGTCTAAACTACGTCTCACAACCCAAAAACCATCTGTTTGACCAGGCCGTGGATTAATGCTAATATTGCAAATAATGTTAAATTTCTTACACAGACCAATCGTTTGACTTTACAGGACCTTCATCAGGAGCCATGGCTTTAGATTTGGACTTTATTCTTAAACTGAAAAACCCATCCTCATTCGCTGCCATTATTTGGATCACCATGTACCACAGATTCAGCTAAAAATCATCAGTAGTGTTATATTAACATTAAGTTAAATAAATATTAATTTATTTTCTTCTCGGCCTAATCCCTTTATTAATCTGGTGTCGCCACAGCGAAATGAACCGCCAACTGATCCAGCATGTTTTACACAGCGGATGCCCTTCCAGCTGCAACCCATCACTTGGAAACATCCATACACTTTCATTTACACACACACACTACGACAATTTAACTTACCCAATTCCCCTATAGCGCATGTCTTTGGACTTGTGGGGGAAACCGGAGCACCCGGAGGAAACCCATGAGAACGCGGGGAGAACATGCAGACTCCACACAGAAATGCCAACTGATCCAGTCGAGAATCGAACTAGCGACCTTCTTGCTGTGAGGTGAGAGCGCTTCCCACTGCGCCACCTGTTAAATAAATATATTTTTAAAAATAAAAAGAATTAATAACTGAAACCAGCTCAAATGTTATCGATTATTTGTCATATGCCATGTCCCGAATAAAACACGTTACCGTAATGCACAACTGTTAGTCATTTGAGACTCCTTTATTACAGCACTCCCACAAGTTTCTCTCTTGCTTTCACAAATAAAATTATACATATTTAATGTATATTTATTATTAATAGCCTATCTAAGTTTTGCCCAGCTAGCGAAACCTGCAGGTAAAGGTAGCCTATAAGCATATTTTTTTCAGTGCATGCATTGACTGCATCGTCAAATACATAGAATATAAGTATGTTTGTGGCATGACAAGCATGGACATGAGCATTATTCAGAACATAGCCTATATATTTATTTTTAAAATGCTATATTTAGAAATTAAAACTATATTAAATTTCAACTTGCAGTAATAATCTAAACATTAAACTTTGCCTCGATGTTGTGCACTTAATATCCTTTAACACACCTAAATCAGACGATTGTCCCTTACATGTATATTACATTTATAATGATACTCAAATTTATTTAATCAACTGACTGTTTACTTGTGAATAGTTTGTTTAGTTACACTATATTTAAAGTTATTTCTTTTTTCGACTACCTTGTAATTTAACATGTTCAGCCAAGATAAAGACATGTAAAGGCTGATTTATACTTCTGCGTCAAATGCACGTGTATGGTCCGACGCAGCCTGCGCGCAGTTGAATAGCCCTTGCCATGGCGCATCTCTCCAAAAATGTAACTACACATCGCAACAACACGTAGCGCACGTTCTATTAGTGGGCTTGGTAGTGCTTACGTGTGTGGGCGGGGTTGAGAGCCACGCCAACCCATTGGAGCGAGTGTTTACAAGTGTAGAGTCCCATGAAATAGCTCCAGGTGGAATCTGTTGCTTTGTGTTTACCTTATGATTAAAGTTGTTGCATGACCGCCAGCTACCGCCTCAGAATGAGCGAGTTTTATCCGCTTGTTCATTAAGGTAGTGTTCAGAAAAAACAAAACCCAAGCGAAGAAACTCCATACAGAGGGAACATATAAACCTACTGCTTTTGTAAGTGTTATTGTAGAACAACACAAACAGCGCGCACAAGTATAAGTGCTCAGCTGCACGCAGGGCAGGCGCAGTAGGTCACGCCAATCACTCAACTCAGAAGTACAAACCAGGCTTAAGGCCGAATTTCTATTGTGCAATTTTGAGCCAAATTCTGATGCGACTCTTCTTTGAATCAATTTAAATTTCAACTTTGATATTTACTGTGCTGTGTTGATGCAATGTACAGGAGGAAAAAAAAGGTGAATAACCTCTCTTGGTCGGCAGATAGTCGAATCATTTTATGGCAGGTCAGACATTTTGGTCGGCTCTCTTGAGAGAATCACGGAGTTGAATCAAATTTGAACTCTGTGTTTGTGCTCTTACTGCACCCTAGTACTGTAAAAACTAGGGAAGCAACAATAACATTTACTTATTCTTTACTTGTCACAAACCTGTTTGAGTTTCTTTGTTCTGATAAACACAACATAAGATAATTTGAAAAATGATGAAAACCGGTAACCATTGACTTCCATAATATGTTTTTGCTACTATGAATGTCAATGATTACTGGTTTCTAACACTCTTCAAAATATTTTGTCTTGTGTTCAACAGATAAAAGAAACTCAAAGGTTTAAAACCATGGTGAGTGAATAGTGAGTAAATTTCCTTTTTTGGGACTATTTAGATTTTTCAGAGCAACATATTCAGTTAAGAAACTGTTTACTGTAATGTGTAGTGATAAATGTTTTGCAGTTACTTACCATAAAAAGTTGATGGAAAATTCCAACTGCAGTACTGGACAGAAAATGTGTTTAAACCCCTGACCAAGGAACTCAGCAAAGGAAACTTGTTGTACAGTACCTCAAATGAAAGGAAGCACATGATTATCATTTAGGTTCAAAATTCAGCACAAGTTACAACATGACCAACTTCTTAATCAACATATTGTTTACAGATTAATTATATTAGGCAACATACATTTAGATAAATTACTTATTGAACAAATTGCTGAACGTGATTAATATGATTAAGATAATCGTCACTGCCTGATTGATACAATATAAAGTCTGTCTCAGACCAGTCAAAGCACTGCATTAAATTCCATTCTTCAACGCCATGTCTTAAAAATGTCAATTTATTTTAACCACAATATTTTCCATGAAGTTTTAGCACTCGTCTGCATGTGTTTTACGTTTGAACAACTAAATGATTGCTTCAGCTTATTTATAGGATATTATTTTAATTAAATTACATTATCGTTGATGTAAAAGGCACTTTATGAATATGGAAAAAGTCACATTAAGTTAACCCCTGCGCTGGACGTTTATCGGTGGCTGATAAACACTTGCTGTGAATATAAGTTAGCCTATTAA